TCCTTCAAGAGGAGTGAGACAGGGTGACCCTATCTCACCTTACTTGTTCTTAATCATCTCTGAACTCCTCTCTGCTCTAATAATGGATGCTTGCTCTTCAGGTAATCTTAAGGGGTTAAAATTGTCTCAGAATGGTCCTATTATTTCTCACTTGCTATTTGCTGATGATTCCATATTCTTCTGTAAAGCTGGGGTGGATCAGGCCCATATTCTTATGGATATTTTGAATAAGTACAAGCTTTTCACTGGGCAGTCTGTGAATCTTCAAAAATCTGCTATCTTCTTTAGCAGAAATTCTCCTTCGAACCTTCAGTCTAACATTTGCACAGCTCTCTGCAAGGGATTCAAACTCATAGGTCCACCAGGTACCTTGGTCTTCCACTTGGCATTGGGAGGTCCAAAAAGGAAGTTTTTGACTATATTCTTGAGTCTTTTCAGAGCAAACTTCAGAGTTGGAAGTCCAAACTTTTATCCCCTGCTGGCAAGCTTGTGCTTCTTAAAGCTGTCTTGCAAGCCCTGCCAATATTCACCATGTCTTGTTTTAAATTGCCAGCTTATACTTGTTATGCTATATCAAGTGTCTGTGCTAAGTTTTGGTGGAAAACCAATGAGGAGGAGCCAAAGGGTATTCATTGGAAGAGTTGGTCAAAACTAACTATTCCTATGCAGGATGGTGGTCTGGGCCTCTTAGACATCAAACTCTTCAATGAAGCCTTGATTTGTAAGCAACTTTGGAGGATAACCAATCATCCTGATCTTCTGGTTAGCAAGGTGCTTAAGGACAGGTATTATCCTAACTCTTCCATATTTCAAGCTACTAAATCTCAAAAAGGTTCTTGGTTATGTAATTGTTGGCTTGATGTCTTGCCTACATTTATCAAAGGTCTGAAAACTGAGATCAGAGATGGGGCTGCAACCAGAATTTCTGACTTTAATTGGGTGCCTTCTTTATTGAAACCTGCTCCTGATATTCTTGATATTGCTAGGGATCATCTTATCTTTGTGAAGGATCTGTTATTGGCTGATGGTTCTAACTGGAATGAGTGGCTGGTTAAGCAAGTCTTCAGCCCTGATGACAGTTCTGCAATTTTGAAAATCAGTACTCTTAGAGCAGGTTCCCCTGACAGGCTTTACTGGGCCTTTGACAATAAAGGAAAATTTTCTGTGGCTAGTACTTATTCTCATCTGGTTGCTCAAAAAGTCAGGAGTTTGGATCAACCTGGCAGCAGTTTGACCCCCAACCCTTGGCCACTTACCTTGAAAAGAACTTGGGCTTTGAAGGTGATGATGAAAATCAAAATTTTTATATGGAGAAGCCTCACAGGTGCCCTGCCAGTGCTAGTTAACTTGAGGAAAAAGGGGATGGACTTAGATGTGATCTGCAGATGCTATGGAGAAGCCCCTGAAACAATTGAACATGCTCTTCTCCAATGCCCTAGAGCCTGCACCACTTGGAACCTAGCCCCAGTCTCTTGGCCTGAACTTCAGCATCTCAATTTCTCATTCAGAGTCTGGTGGCAAGCCATCTGCAGCATTGGTCACTCAGAGTTTGCAGAGGAGAGGATCCAACTATCAACTTATCTTCTCTGGTGGCTCTGGAAGACCAGAAACCACTGGATTTTCCAACATTCCATTCCTCCTCCAAACAGTCATCAAAGCAGCAATGTCAGATTGGAGGGACTTCTCAGCAGCAGCTCGAGCTCCATATTAGTGCTTTTATTTTGCTTTTGTTTGTAGTTTATTTTATGAGCAGAGATTAGCTAGGCTTTGAGGCAGTGGCTTCATTTCTGTTCTTTCTTCTTTTTTCATTTCTGTAACTTGTAGCTTCTTTGAGGTTCTAGGCCATCTTGTGGATGTGCCTCCCATGTTGTTATGTCTTATTTGGTTGTTTGTACATTGAACTTTGGTTTCTTCAGTTAATAGATCTCTCTATCGTTCCGATAAAAAAAAAGAAGAAGAAACATTTATAATAACTAATGAATGAATTAAATAAGAAAATGAAATGTAATGTATGTTAATGTAGGAAAAAGAAATATAATAATTTATGGTAACTAATTGTAAAAATAAAGAAGGAAAAAATCAATCATGGATTTAGTGTGATAAAAAATATTAATTTATATCCAAGCCTAACTCTAAAGCATGATTTTTTGCCAAATAGGATTACGAAGTGTAAGAGTTTGCCACGTACGCTCAACCCATTCTGAAATTATATATTGAGGTGATTTTATTTGATATCTTCTAATTTAGATTGATAAATAAACTTAAAATTTATTTATAAGAACATATATTACCATTTAAAAAAAAAAAACACATTATATCCATGTGTCATTACACATGGATTTAAGAATTAAAAAAAAAACCAAAAACTGTAAGAATAAAGAAATCGCGGGATAAAATTGCGGGAAAATTCCCAAAGCAGACAAACCCTACAATCAACAAGAAATGTTCTTCACAATCGCCCTAATTCTTACATGCAAAAATCACTACTGAATCGCCCAATTTCCTTTCACCAAATATCGAAGGTCGATATCTTCACAACCCCTTCCATCAGAAATAAAAAATGGTGATGAAAAGACATAAGAAGCACTCGGGTTTGCCACCTCCATTATATCGTGAGTTTTTAATTTGTTTACTTTTTGTCTACTTGTGAAATAGTGTATTTGATTATCTTTTCAACAAAATATGGTCCCTGAAAATGGTGTATTTGATTATCTTTTCAACAAAATGTGGTCCCTGAAACATGTATTTGTTTATTTTTTTAAGAAAATGCGGGCTTGTCCCTCATATATTTGTTTATATGTTCAATAATTTGATGTTTCTTGGCCCACAGACTCGGATTCTACTTCCCTTACTGTCGTGGTGCATCATGGAGGTGTCTTTCAAAACTATCCCAGTTTAAGTTACATTGGGGGTTCAAGAACTGTTGTTGACTATGTGGACAAGGTACACATGAACTTAGTTCGCTTTACTACATTGGCAAATGAGATTATAGGTCCTGGTAAGAAAAAATTTCAGATTGATTTTTGTGGTCGTCTCAGCCTCGTATGCAATGATAGTGATCTTTTGGTGGGGTTTGATGCTGCCTTGCCTTGTAGAGAATTGCATCTTTATGTAGAAAACGTTGTCAATGAAGTTGTAGAGTCTGTTGATAGTGAGTACTGTTTGGGGAGTGACTCTGAAAATGATGATGAACTATTTGATCACCATATTGATGATGTAAGTTCAGTTGAGGCATCTGTTGAAAAAAGTTTTGTTGCAAAATCAGTTGGGATTTTGGTGTTGTTGGATCATCAAGAGAATCTGATGATGAAATAAATGAGAAAGATGACCATGTTAATAGTGATGAGGCTGAGAGTAGTGAGGATGATGTTGTGAATAATAAAGATGACTTTAATGAGAACAGGTTGTCTGATGATGAAGCAAATGGTGAACCACCTCTTCCAGCCCCTGTATTCAATGTAGCTCAAATTTAGGATCCCACCTTTAAACTTGGGATGTTGTTTAGTAGTAGAGCTGAGTTCAAAAAGGCAGCTGATTCTTATGCTGTTAAACATAGAAGAAGTTTGAAGTTCACTAAGAATGACAAGTACAGAGTTTATGTGAAATGTTGTGATGATGATTGCCCTTGGATGATTAATCTGATTCAGGTGAAGGACTCAACCTCATACAGGATCCACAAATTTGTTGATGAGCACAATTGTCCTCCTACATTTGATGTCAAAAATGTGAAAGCACCTTGGCTGACAGATAGATATCTTGATGATTTCAAGACTGATCCAAACAGAAAAGTGAAGACATGGAGGAGGGAGGTAATTCACAAGCTTGGCTGCCATGTTTCTAAGTTTCAAGCTTATAGGGCCAGAAGAAAGGCTCTGAAGATTGTGGAAGGGTGCCCTGACTACCAGTTCACTAAACTTTGGGATTACAGAGAAGAACTTATTAGATCAAATCCTGGGTCTACTGTTATTTTGGGGACTGTTGATACTGATAATGGTGAGAAGAGGTTTGATAGGTTCTATGTTTTCTTCAGTGCACTTAAGAAGGGCTTTAAAGCAGGTTGCAGGCAAATCATAGGAGTTGATGGTTGTTTCTTAAAAGGGCCACATAAGGGAATTTTACTCACAGCTGTTGGTGTTGATCCAAACAATAATCACTACCCTCTTGCATATGCCATTGTGTCTTCAGAAAATGGGGAGACTTGGGAGTGGTTTTTGATTCTATTGAAGAATGACCTCGAAATACAAAACCAGCAAGAGTGGACCTTTATTTCAGACAAGCAGAAAGGCCTAATCCAAGCTTTCAGGTCTGTTCTTCCTGATTGTCACCATAGATTTTGTGTGAGACATCTTCATAACAACTTTCAGAATGCTGGGTTTAGAGGTCTAGAGTACAAGAAGGCTCTTTGGAAATGTGCATTGGCAACTACTGTTGGTGAATTCAACCACTGCCTTGATGAGTTGAGAGAACTAAGTCCAGAAGCAGCAGATTGGCTCAGTGACAAACCACCATCAGAGTGGAGCAAGTCACATTTCACTGAAGGCCCCAAATGTGACATGGTGTTGAATAATGTCTGTGAGACATTTAATGGGAACATATTGGAGGCTAGGGACAAACCAATGTTGACAATGTTGGAGTGGATTAGGCAATATCTTATCAGCAGACTTCAAAAAAATAGGGATAAGGCTACCAAACTTTGAAGTCTGGGTTGTGTCCAAAAATTAGAGATATTCTTTCTCATCATGTTGAACAGGTGGGTGACTGCATTCCTTTGAAGTGTGATCATGCAAACTGGGAGGTGTCTTGTTTCAATGGGGGGCAATTTAATGTGAATCTTGATTTGGGGACTTGCACTTGCAGAAAATGGGGATTGACTGGAGTACCTTGCCCTCATGCTTATAGTGCAATGTATATGTCCAAAATGGACCCATTTGATCATGTAGCTACCTGCTATTCTGTTGCTACATATCACAAAGTGTATTAACCAGCTATAATGGGAATTAATGGTGAGGTGCTGTGGGATAAGAGCTTATATATTCCACCATTGCCTCCAATCTAATGAGAGGCCTCGTAAGAAGAAAAATCAAGATACAAGGTCGCAGAGACTTAAAAGGCAACAAAAAACAGTGAAGTGCAAGAACTGTGGTGTTTTGGGACATAATAGCAAAACATGTCATAGGAGGGCCTCCAATGAAGAAGCTGTGATGGGATCACATAATGTTCAAGCACCTCAGGATGATAGGGGAGGTTCAAACATGTCTAGGGTACTATTCTGATTTCAGATTGCTCTTTATTTTTCATTATTTTTGTTCTAATATTTTCAACCTTATACAGGATGATGGTGGAGGCTCAAGCTCAGTGCACATCACAAAGAAACAGAGAAATCATCCTACAGTGCTACCCCTAGTTTTTGAAGAACATCAAGAACCTGAAGAGATTGATGTCCCCATTCTAACACAAATGTCTCAGTCCAAATCAGCAGCAACAACACACATTGAAGGACCCTTAATGTGGGATCAACTTCAAAGGGGAAGAACAAGAGGACCACCAGTTGATGACACTCTCCAGAAGAAGTTTAAGCATTTGTCTGAAATTTAAGAAGTTTGAACAGTTGGTGAATTGATTTGTGTATTGGGCCTCTGTTTTGTGTAGTACTTTATGGTACATTGTCTTGTTTTGTAATTTCTGATGGGCATGAACTCTTAGAAATTCTGTTTTGGATGCTATGGAAAATCTGAGATTGTGTACTCTTGTGAAGCTATGTTTTGGTACATTCATTTGATTGTGTAGTAATGTGAAATTTTTTGTGTAGTATATATGGTAAACTGTGTTCATTATGTCTGTTTTTTAAGTTAATCTTGTTTCAAATGTTCAATCTGTTATTTGTTTTCATTTGTTAGTGTTGGTTTGTTTGTCTTTAGTGTTGGTTTCAATGTGGTGTTATATTGCAACATTTTGAAAACAATACAGAGACAAATCATAGTTCTAAATCAATAGAACAAAAACAGTGAGAAAACTTTGTTCCATCACCATTGCCATCATCATTGTTCCATCAACACTGCCATTATCAACACAAGTTCTGAATCCTAAGAAACACTATCATCATCATACTTAACAAAACTACATAACAAAATAAAGAACAAGACAAAGTGGCCAATTCCATTACATGAAATCTCTTCAACTGAAGCAGCAGTGAAGGACCTGGAAAATAACAAAAGATAATGCCATATAAATGCAGATTTTCTTCATCATTGCAATGTTCTGCTTCAATTTTTCATTTTCAGCTTCCATGGCATTCACCCTACGTAGTAGTCCTGGAATTATAGCCCTCGAGCGACGACAAATTGGAGGATCCTCCCAATTAAAAATTTGGCAACCACCTCTCTGAGAAGAAGAAAAGAAAAAATATAACAATTTGAATGAAGAACCCTAATTTCAATAACCCAACTTTGACAGTCAAGAACCCTAATTTAGCACTCAAGAACCCTAATTTATGACTCAAGAACCCTAATTTGGGACTGAAGAACCATAATTTCGGACCTCAATCAAAAATCCTAATTTGAGACTCAAGAACCCTAATTAAATATGAAAATTTTACCTTCTATTGAAGACAAGAATGAAATATTCTTCCAGGATTGTCGTCGGTCCATGATGTGCGAAGCACAGCTCTCTTCCCATAGTAGCAATTGATGGAGCTCGTGGTATACAACATTTTTTCTTCTCAGATTTGCAAGAATGGGAGGAATGGCTCTCGACAATTTTTAACGGCCATTTTATAGAAAAAATTTTTACAACGGTCATATTTCTTTATTCTTACAGGTTTTTGGTTTTTTTTAATTCTTAAATCCATGTGTAATGACACATGGATATAATGTGTTTTTTTTCTTTAATCCGCGTGGCGACAGATCTATGGACAGGCTATTCCACATCATCGCCGGTGTTTAATGTGTAGGGCCAAATGGACGCCACGTCAGATTTGTCGGCCAAAAATGTCACCGGAACGTCGTTTTGGATGTATAGTGCAAAAAAAATAAAGATAGTATACCAAATCTAAATTTTTTTTTTATTAAAGGACGAAAGTGCAACTGACCAATAGTTAGTGGACTAATGGTGCAATTTTTCCATGTTTGGAAAGAAGTTGGCAGCGATTAGTCTGCTAAATGTTATGTAAAAAAAATGCAACATATATTGAAATATATTAACTATAAATGCAACATATATTCAAATTACTCTAATGTCTATCTTGCAAAAAAATTTTACGCTCCTCGTTAAGCCTTGACCTCTTTTTCCTATAACTGTCAACATGGTTGGTTTTGTCATTCATTTTTCTTCTATTCTTTTTTTTTTTTTTTCAATCTTATAAATGTGGTTGGATAAATGTTATGTAAATAAAAACGTAGCATACAATGAAATTATAATGTTAAAGGCAATATATACTAAAATTATTCTAATGCCCGTCTTGCGCAGGATTTTTATGTTTGTTGTTATGTCTTGACCTCCTTTTCCTATTGTTGGGATCTGTAAGGATCTCGTTATGTACAAATCACGAATTCAATAGCAAACATAAACCTATGCGCAGCGGATCTAAAGGTTTGACGTAGAGAACTTACGGCTTAAAATTTATGTAGATCTGGTTGACCACGAACGGTTGACCGCAATTGATTGACCGCAACACGCGTCTTGGGTTGCACGAACAAGATCAGATCAAAACTGGATCAAACGGATGCAAACAGATCAAAACGAAATTTTGCTGCCAGACACCTTCCGGCGGCGCGTGAGGGTGCGTCCGGCGTCGGATTCCGGTGATCTCGGCGGCGATGGAAAGCTCTCGTCGAGACGGTCGTCTGGGTATACTGTACGTCTCAATCGAACTTCCGGTTAGTTCTGTAGGTCAAAATATATTTCGTCTCGGTTTACCTACAGATCTTCTACTGTATTACTCAATACACCCTTCTTCAACTTGTACCAGTGGAGCAACAAGAAGAAGATAAAGCTCGAATGAGATCTAGAGAGAGAGGCGTGTTTCACGTGAGAATGAGACTTCTGTTCTCTTCTCATGAGCTTAATGATGTATATATAGAGCTACAGTAGGGACCCTAAGGAGATTAGGAAGAAGGCTCCTTAATTAATTAGACTAACTGTGGGCCAAACCCACTCCTCTAATTAATTAAATAATATTAATGGGCCACCAACATTATATTATTGCACTCCCTTTCCCTAGCCCAAATTACATTTGAGACTCCAATAATAATTACTCGATTTACCTCCCCACGTTTAAGATATAATGTCCATTAATTAATTCGATTACTGACAATCAAGAATTAATTAATTTATTATTATTTCACCGAAGCTAGCGCTCGTTCATCACATTCTTATTATGCCGGAATTTAATCCACCTGCAAGGTTTAGCATAACAATCCTTCATGAACTCACTCCGGGGACATCATCAAACTAACGCACATGGTGACCGTAAATATCCTAACAGCACATCCTATATATAATAATATTACCCAAAACAGTAGGAATATTAATCCAGCGAACTGAACCTCACCCATGTGAATCAAAGTAATATATATTATATATATCTGCCTGTTTAATATCTTACTGGTTAAGAGAACGCAATAATTAACCGAGGCCTAGTTCATTTACGACGATCAGTATAAAATGAACTTCTCCTCTCTGGGATCCTGTTCAATACATAAATGTACTAGTGCAACTAATCAGTCAAATCAAACTGTACAGTTGACACTACAACCGTTCGGATGGGGTGTTCATGTCCATCTAGGTTGTGAACAACTATTCTTGTTCGCAAGTGACTGATAGAGTGATCTTCGGTTCGCCCGATGACGACCCACCCTATCTAAGTGCAGAACAACAGAACGTAGAACTTGTTTAATCTAACATGATTCTCATTCATAAAGGGTAAATGTGTAATAACATGCAAAGCCAAGCTTTCGGTATATAACACTAACAATCTCCCACTTATACTTAAAGCTTTCGCTCTTACAGTATAGTCCTATCAATCCGTTATTCTAAAAGACCTATGTCGATCCTATTGCCATGCTCATGACTCCCATTCCTTCCACGTGTTTGACGAAGACCTTCCCCGACAAACTCTTCGTGAAAGGATCAGCTAGGTTGTCCTCTGACGCAATCTTGGCAACATCAACGTCTCCTCTACCAACGATATCCCGAATCAGATGGTATTTGCGCTCTATGTGTTTGCTTGCCCTGTGGGCTCGAGGTTCTTTTGAGTTCGCTACTGCTCCACTGTTATCACAGTACACGGTGATACCACGTGGCAAACTCGGTATAACCTCTAAGTCCACTAAGAAGTTCCTGAGCCAAACTGCCTCTTTCGCTGCCTCTGAGGCTGCTATGTACTCGGCTTCCATGGTGGAGTCTGCCACGCATTTCTGCTTAGCACTCCTCCATGAAATGGCTCCACTTCCCAAGGTAAACACATAACCTGAGGTTGACTTACTTTCATCCCTATCTGACTGGAAATCAGAATCACTGTAACCCAGAGGTAACAAGCTGTCTGCACGGTAAACTAACATGTACTCCTTAGTCCTTCTCAGGTACTTGAGTATATGCTTCACCGCAGACCAATGTTCCCGTCCTGGATTACTTTGATATCTAGCTACCATGCCAACGGCGTAGCTAATATCCGGCCTTGTGCATAGCATTGCATACATGAGACTTCCTACTGCCGAAGCATAAGGAACTGTCTTCATCTCCTCTATCTCCTTAGACGTCTTAGGAGACATCTCCTTAGATAAAGGTATTCCATGTCTAAAAGGTAACATACCTTTCTTGGAATCCTGCATGCTAAATCTGGCCAAGACAGTATCTATGTATGAAGACTGGGATAAGCACAACATTCTCTTCTTACGATCTCTAATGAGCCTAATACCAAGAATGTGTCCTGCTTCACCTAAGTCCTTCATATCAAACTGCTTAGACAACCACACCTTTACGTCTGATAACTCCTTCTTACTGTTTCCAATAAGCAGTATGTCATCTACGTAAAGCACAAGAAACACCACCACGCTCCCACTGATTTTCTTGTAAACACAATGCTCATCCGGACATTGAGTGAACCCGTACGACTGGATCACCTCATCAAAACGGATGTTCCAAGATCTCGAAGCTTGCTTCAGTCCATAAATAGACCGATTAAGCTTACACACTAGATGCTCACGACCTTCAGCAATGAATCCCTCTGGTTGCTGCATATAGATGTCTTCTTGCAGGTTCCCATTAAGGAAAGCTGTCTTGACATCCATCTGCCAGACCTCATAGTCCATATGAGCGGCTACAGCCAAGAGAATCCGAATGGACTTAAGCATAGCTACTGGCGAAAAGGTCTCATCATAATCAATACCCTCGATCTGGGTATAACCTTTCGCAACAAGCCTAGCTTTAAAGGTTTGCACCTTCCCATCCAATCCTCTCTTTCTCTTATAGATCCACTTACATCCAATGGGTCGTACCCCATCGGGTAGTTCTACAAGATCCCAGACCTGATTGGAGTCCATTGACCCCATTTCAGCTTTCATTGCAACATTCCATGAATCTGCATCTTTATCTTGGAGTGCCTCATCGTAAGTTCTTGGGTCCGATTCTAGGCCTCCTGGAACTGAGTCTGACGACTCTCCAAGACCTATCCATCGGTCGGGTAAATGAGAAACCCTCCCACTGCGACGAGGCACTGTCTGCACTGGTACACTCTCAGTGTGTCGTGTTGCAGTATTATGTGATGTATCTACTTGCGCACTCGGTGGGGAACCATCGATTTCACCCCTTAACTCCTCTAAGACTAGTCTACTCGCGGGCTTATGATTCATAATATAGTCTTCTTCCAAGAATCTAGCGTTCGTCGAAACGATCACCTTCTGATCCTCGGGACTATAAAATAATCCACCTTTCGTTCCCTTGGGATAGCCTACGAAAACTCGTGCTTCCGAACGTTTCTCCAACTTGCCAGGTTCCTGCACTAACACGTGTGCAGGACTACCCCAAACTCGAAACTGTGAGAAACTGGGCTTGCGCCCTTTCCACATCTCATAAGGGGTAGTGTCAACTGACTTCGACGGAACCATGTTCAGAATATACGATGCCGTTTCCAATGCCAAACCCCAGAACGAATCTGGTAACCTCGAATAACTCATCATAGACCTAACCATCTCCATAAGAGTCCTATTTCTTCGCTCTGCAACCCCATTCTGCTGGGGCGTGCCGGGTGCAGTCAGTTGGGATTCAATCCCAGCTTCCGATAAGTATGTCCTGAACTCTCCAAAAAGGTA